CAATGATGAAAAAATAAGGGGACAGATCAAAGTGCTCCGTAAAATGCAAAATACTTTGCAGACGCAAAGGAATAGTAGAATATAATTGGTAATACTCCAGACCTCACAATATTTGCTCAGAAAACCTTAGGATAAAAGTGTTCAAATAGTTGAAGAGCAAATAAAAATTGTGACTATATATGTGGTAAGAAAACCTGCTATAAAGAGTATTCGTTTTCCAGTACATTTGGGAAGAAACGAAACAAAGGCAAAACAATTTTAAACGGCAAAGATAAATGGTACTGCTAGCTTAGATGGCCACAGATGGGGGAAGGTCGAGGAGAGGAGATGTGCAAAACCAAATAAAGAACCCTCAATAGCTACACCTTGAAATCACTGGTGGTTGTAATAATAGCAGCATTCTGAAGTCAGCAACATGCCAGAGGAAGACTGAGCCAGTGTTCCATACTACAGCACAGAGTAATAGTCAATACAGCAAATACGCTTAGTTTTGAGATGGATTGTGCTTTCTAAACTGTTTGATTGGCCTTAATTGCTGACAAAGGGGTATAGGCAATGAGAATTGGAACAAACATTTTAAGTTCAAGGCCCAGTTTTGGCACTAGGAAGATTAGTATATGTCTTTAGGCTTCAGTTTTCTTATCTGTAAAATGTAGAGGTCGGACTAGATGACCTTCTGTGAATCTGGTGTATGTATGCTGATGCCACAGTGGGGTGGGGCTGGTAAAATCAAGGCAGGAGCAATCTTTTGGAATTGCTAAAAAGCACATTGTAATCAAACACCAGGAAATTGCCTGAAGAAACGCAAAGTAAAAGAACATTTCCCAAGAGGAAGAAACCATAATCATAGGATCCAGTTTTCAGTTTTGTTTAAATATTAATTTCTTATCATGGAATGAAAGTGTCTTGAACCAACGCATAGATTCTAGCAAAACTTTTTCTCAAATGGGCAATAATCCTAGGGACATTACTGAATTTTTACTCCTTCATGAGGAAATAACACAAGAATTCTTTTTGCCAAAAACTGACAACTTATACTAATTTGAGAATATGTATTATTTAGGTATTAGAATAATCAAAAGTAATTTTATTCCTTTTA